ATATATTACTATAAGAATGTAAGGTAATTAGTATAAGTAAAAAAGTATAGTATATATTAGTTTAGTAAGAAAGAGTTCTATTATAAAGAGATTCTATTATCTAAAGTATTATATAAGAGTCTAATACTAAAAAGTATAAGTAAAAGATAAGATAGTAGATAATAAGATAATTCTAAAGAGCTTTTATTAAAAGACGTTTCTCTCTCTAGATAATTCTTAGGTTATTAAAGATCTAATTTATATAAGAATACCTTGTGCACTAGTATACTATTAATTTTCTTTTTTACTAGTCTTACTATTAAAAAACTTACTACTAATATATATAAGTTCTTTTACTACTCTAAGCTTATTATTAATATTAATTAAAGCTATTTTATTACTTTAGATATACTAAAGACCTATACTATTTATATTTATATATTTATATATAAACTAGTATTAACTATAGAACTAGGCTCTTTTAAACTTATTTTTAATACTATAAAATTATAAATTAGAGCTTTAAATAAAATTATTAGCTATCTTAATAGTATATTAGATAATAATAAAAAGAAGTTTATAAATAGTTTTTTAAGTATTACTACTCTTAAGTAGATAGCTACTATAATAGCTATAAAGCTTTATAGTTAAGAACTATAATATAAGTAGATACTTATTATTATTAAGTACTATCTATCTAGAGAGTTAATATAGTATTATATTATAGTTAATAAAGAATAAATATAGCTAGTTCTATTAGCTAGTATTATACCTATTACTATATATTATATTATTTTTAGTTATTTCTAGTTATTTCTAGTTATAGTATAAAGAAAGTTATATAAGTAAGTATAGAATAAGTTTATACTAAAATAACTATATTACTATAGTAATATATACTAAATTAATATTAAAATTATTTAGTAGTTCTAAAAGAGACTAGCTTAAAGTCTTTTAATATTTTTTAATATCTTTTAATATTATTTTACTATAAAAATAACACTAAATTAGACTTAAGATACTACTTATTTACTATAGCTATTTATAAAGTATATAGTATTACTATTTACTATAAATATAGCTAACTATATAAGTAATACTTTTTAAGCTAGAGACTTTTTAAAAAAAAAAAAATATAGTAAAGAGTTTTTTTTATTAACTTAAATAGCTTAGCTATATACTAATAAATGTTAAAAAGTTATACTTTATAAGTAATACTTATAGCTACTTACTTTAAAGAGTTTATACTAATAACTACTTTTATAATTATAGTTTATAAGTTAACTAAAAGTTTAAGAAATAAGAATAAAATACTTTAAAAATAGTAGTAGCTATTAAGTAATAAAATTTATATTTAGGTAAATATATATTAATATGTGTTTTATGTAGGCTAAACGCGAAGAAATAACCTTCTTAGTAGCATTGTTAAGGCTTCGCTCGTATTCCGGGCACCTGTTATCAAGCTGTACAAAGATCATTGTCAAGAGCTTAGAGACTATTAGAAGGGCGCAGAAGGGATTTCTGAACGTGTTACAGCGTTATTGGGTGGTTCTTTGGATAGTGGTCATGACCTACACAACACAGAACAGGCCCGCGACAAAAGTGGCAGCCCCCACGGAAATCTACCTCTAGCGGTTCTCGCTATACCCCTGACTGCACGAAAGCCAGTCCATGTAGATACGACAGGTCTTCACGCATTGGTAGTGACGATGGGAGGTCTTAACGCATTGATAGTGACGATGGAACGTCCTGGTGTATACAGAAGAGCTGGGGTAGGCAGACTTGGTTTGTTGGAGGAATTTCTCGACATGCATCGCGAACTCCCGATGTATACACCCGACCAAGGCGCTTATTCATCGACAAAACAGGAACGTAAGTGGGCCCAGTTCAATGAAGCACAGAAACAGAGACGGGAGAAGTGGAAAGGTCGATTCATGCATGAGATGAGTCGATTGGAAAGACAGATTTTCAAGCTAGTTTGATGGATTTGTCAACAGAGATTACGTGAAAGTAAAGGAGACTGCTCCAACCCGCGTACCTACGCAGTTTCCTAGATCTGAAACTGGATACTGAGCACCGTGAATGTGAGTACTATCGGCTTGCAGCTAGTGTGTTTTTATAGTGTACTCGAGAAAACATCGTGCCGTCTCTGCGTCGTCGTACATGTTGCTCAACTGATTTCCACAGTCCGTCCGCCCGAAAGTCCTCCTCATAAATCAATACTTCCAGGGACATCAAGCTGATGTAAAACCTCGATGAAGGAGAGCGCGACTCGCACAGGGCCTCCAGAATGCTTGGTTTGAGAGCTTGGATCCAAGCATGGACTTGAGTGATGTAATCGTGCACGGTAACGAAGGGATGCGTAGTAGGCAGCACCTCGAAGGACGGCGGAGGTGGTGGACAAGCCATGCCGCAGCAGCGCAAAAGCGCCCGATCCTCATCGTTCTCGGTTTCGACCCACTCTTGATTGTCCTCGTTATCCCACCGATGCTCTCCTTCCCATCTGTATCCCCATGTGTCTAGATCGTCTATGTGTATGCTGCTGATCGACGAGACCGGTGGTTCCGTTGCGGGCGAGGTGGAGATCTTGTGAAAGGAATGACCGTCGGTAGTGTATGGTTCACATTTAGAGTCTTGGTCGTGAGTGTCCGCAACTTCGACTGAAGACTCCAAAGACCCAAAGAGCGACAAGCGCACTCGCAGCATGTCCATAGAGGACAGAACGATGGTGCCAGAAGAGCGGAGGCTATCGAACGTTGGGATATCCTTAGAAGTTGACATGGTGGAGAGGGATGAGAAAGCTTTGTCAGTTTTGAAGTGAGCAGAGGTGCTGGATGAACAGGATGCGCCAGGGGTTGGGTATTTAATCTACTACGTGTAGGGAGGTGCGACGCCGCAATCTAGGAAAGAAGAAATAACATGACCAGCTGGGAAAGGAGACGAGTCGACGCGATGACCAGTGGCAGAACTGATACGACGCTCTTGCAATGCATCAAAATGAACGTCTGTTTCCCCTTCACCTGGGCAGTTTCAAGATCCCAAAGTTTGCGCCTAAACACGTGACGTCATGGCTTCCCGTGGTCAACAATCGCTCCTTCCTGCCGTAAAGTCGCGTTCACTTTCACTTTCTTGGCGTGATGCAACGTAAACAATATTATTACTCACTTCAGTCTCGCTGCGGCCCTAACCATAACGTCTTTCGCACCTTCCCGCACCTCCTGCACAATCTCGCCCGCGCTTTGCACTTCCTTCACCAACCCCACACCAGTACCCGCCCAGATTGCTGCACGCCCTTGCAAGCCCGTGTTGTATCCTTTGTCTTCACCCGCAGCGGCCTCATTGTGCAGCTTCTGTATCTCTTCCAGGCTCATGCCATTCGCGAAATCCTTGTGGCTCTGTGCTACCAACCCGCGCCCATCATACAGCTCCGGCCAGATGTTGGGACCGCGCAACTGATCAAAAAGCTTCGAACGCGTCGTCACCTGACCGCCGTCTTGCGCCTCCAAAACTGCGGCTTGGTACACCGGATGGACGTTCACCTCTTTAGACGCGAGGAAACGCGTTCCCATCACGACGCCTTCGGCACCGAGGGTGAGTGCTGCAGCAACACCGCGTCCGTCGACAATACCACCCGAGGCAACGAGGGGTATATGTGAAAAGCCTTCCGCAGCAAGCGCGTCGGTCACCTCCGGTAGTAGCGAGACGATGCTTGCACCCTTCTCGAAGCCGTGACCACCAGCATCTGCGCCCTGGAGACACAGCACGTCAGGCCGCGCTATCCTCGCAACGTGGAGAGCTGCCGCGACGCTGCCGAGCTGGATCCAAATCTTGCTCTCCGGTGAGGCTTTGCGTATCGCCGGCACCCATTGCGCGTAGTCGTCCAGATCTTTCGGCACGAACAACCAAATGACCGCGGGCTTGTAGTCATCAAACACCGGAAGAATGTCTTCGAGTTTGAGCACAAAGGGAAGGAACCCGACGCCAACTGGGAGAACACGCAACGCCGATAGTTCGGGACTGTCCTTGAAAGCTTCGGTCGCGATATCCAACTCTTTCCGCAAGTCGTCCATACTGCGTAGACTTCCGATCATACCGAGGCCACCAGCGAGTGTCACAGCTGACGCGAGCTTACCGCCTGCGAAGCCCGCCATTGGCGCGTTGACGATGAGCGGTGACAACGACCAGGGCAGCTGTTCCTGGAGAGCAGACATGACGGACGAGGACCAGATCTAGGAGATGTTGAAGACCGGGAGAAGCTGTCGGTAAGAGAGATCTTACTAGAGGCTGCACTAATAGGTGTAGGAGTAAGCAACGCCCTCCGTCAGGCCCTCAATGTCATGTTGGCTACACGACCTTACTAGCCCCGGCTGGTCACAAGCGGAGCGTCACATCATCTAGGATTAGCAAGCAACTTCGGTCTATTCTGGATGCGTAAGAGCCCGTGTCAAAGCCAGGCCCCAGACTGGGTCAAAGGCGCGTTCTTTTCTTCCTCGGAGGATGTTAGTGGAAGAACGTACCGATGCCACGAGAGCTCTCTTGCCCCGCATTCAGCCCCACCTTCGCCTTTCAAGCTCGCTGCTTCGCAATTTCGCGCGATATATTGCAACTTTTTTTCCATTCTGGCATCAAAGTTGGTTCGATGGTGTAGTTGGTTATCACGTTCGCCTCACATCTGTGTGTGTACACGCGAAAGGTCGCGAGTTCGAGCCTCGCTTGAATCATTCAGCTGTCTTTTTGCTGTCCCGACGGTCTCGGCGTGAGGTGGATCGACGCGGTGGCATCAATTTTGCCCAAAATTTGATTTCGAAGATAGCCAAGAATCTGACATGGCAGCCACAGGGAGAAATTGCGGATTGGCTAGATAGCATTTAGGAATACATTTGTTTCTACTCAGGAGAATTATAAAATTATAGATAGGTTTGACGTCTACAAGTGATTCGACCCATCAGCTCCATCGACCAGTCAGTCTCCCTTGAAGAACATGTCTCTTCCACGGCTCCAGCTCGCTTGAAGAGCTTCATATGCTAACTTCATCAGGGGCAAAACGCACTCGCGCCCGTACCGCCTTCGAAGAGTATGTCGAGGCTGTCTACCCCGACCCATCGTCCGAAACCGAAGACATCTGGAACTCTGCGACTCTCATCCCCCGCACAAAGAAGTTTCTCGGTGTAATGCCTGATCTTAACACTGGCCATCTAGGCGACAAGATCAAGGGTGGTGGTCTGTGGCAGCTCAAGCATGGTCTCTATTGGTAGGCTTCTACCCTTGTTGCCGGACTTCAACATTATCTGGCAGAAGTGGCACGAGGAAGTCAGCCGTCATATCCATTTCATCGCTGTGGTACGAGCTTGGTTCATCGTCATACGCCAAGAACAACCTCTCCGATCCTGAGCTTAGGCTCATCTTCCGATTTATTATGGAGCATGACTACGAGGTTGAGTACTGGGCTGCCATGCTCATTGTCTGGAGCACTGATTGTCGCTCTGGTACCTTCACCGCATTCCAGGTCTACGGCAAAGGCGCGAGGCTAGGAGATGCATCCGTGTCTACTGTCGAGCTTCTCTGAGTGCCTTACGGGTATTGCTGGCAAGGTTCCCCAGACCGGTGAGACCATGCGCTGGTCCGATGTGAAGTTCGTGCGCATGGCTCTTGGTATTGCTTTCCAGGTTACATTTCGTTTTGACAACGGCTATCGCAATTGTCACCTACCTATGTAGATATCTAAGTAATCGAGAACAGGAAAGATTAAGCTTTCCGATCTTTATGTAGACATAGTAATAGTTTATCCTAGCGAAGGTCAAAGATTCTTTACTCTATGTAGATATCGTAGTAATTGGTCACTGAAGAGTATCTGTCTGAAGACATGGATATAAAGACGTGTATGTTTTGATTCTACATCCAACAAAGCATCCAATGACGGGGATCATCCAAAACCGCTATTGAAAGCTCATCCCCAAAACCCACGGCTTCCTCCTCTCTAAATCCAATATCATCTGCCCAAACAGTCCATTCGCCCAACTAAACCACTGCCGACTCCACACCCCCTTATCTCTCGCATGGACACTCTCATGCATCAGCCCCAGCCCATCCGTACTCTGCACCAACCACATTAGATTCCGAACGATCTCATCGTCGTCCTCACTCGTCAGGATAGTCATGATGAGCGCCATGGGCCACGGTCTACCGGGTAGTGTATGCGGACTCGCCACACCGGTGATCACGGGCCCGACAGCATAGTACGGGTTATCCCTGCTCAAGATCTTCCGTCGCGTATTCTGATATATCGGATCGCGCAGTGTCGTGTATCCCAAAAACGGCGCCGACAACAACGAAGGCACATTAGGATCATCCATAATATTCACCGAGCCATACCCATCAACTTCATAAGCGTATACTTTGCCGAAGTTGGGATCGTTGACTATGCCGTATTTTTCCACGCCTCGGTTGATCGCTGTGCTAAGGGTTTGCATGCGTGCGGCTAGCGGGTTCTCGCGGGAGGTGATGCGCGACATTATTGTTGAGGAGGTGTTGAGGGCGGAGGAGAACATCATGTTGGAGGGGATGAGGTATTGGTATGTACATGCGTCGTCGCTGGGGCGGTGGAAGGAGCGTACGAGGCCGATGTCTCCTTTGTGTGGACTGCCGTTGCAGTTGTTGATGGGGGTGCCGCCGTAGGGAGCGCAGTACGTGTATGGTGTGTGCTGCCATTCTCCGTCCTCGGTGTAGGAATCTATTGTCATGCTTTCTGTCGTGTTCAAAACTTGTTCAACGGCTTTGGTCCAGTTGCTGCTTCTTTCGAAGAACTCGTAGTCTTTTGTTGCTGTTACGTAGTCCACGGATAGTTGCAGGAAGGAGGCTAGGGAGTCTAGTTCCCATTGGCAGGAGAAGACTTTGTAGTAGTCGAACGACGGAGTGATGCGGTCGCTGTTCATGCTGCTCTTATGTTCAACACCGCTCTCATCCGGCGCTTGGAAGGCGTTGCAAAATGCGTTTTCGAGAATGTAGCGTGCTTGTAGATTTATAGCTCCTCGAAACAGACCGGCTAGACTGTCCTGGCTGTCGTCTTGTTTCAAAACCGAGATGTATGCTTGGAGTTGGTTTGCAGAGTCGCGCAGCCACATTGCCTCAATATCCCCGGTGATGACAAAAGTAAGTTCCTCAGGCTTCATGCTCATCAGAGGTCCTTCCAAAGAGTCCGGGTCGCTAGTCGTGTTAGACCATCCTCGCCACGCGATAGTCGTATCCAAAGTACTCGGCCATGTGTTCTCGAAAATCTGTCCTCACATCAACACATCATCTCTGCAACACTGCAGTGGCGAAGTCGCGTACACGAAAGAGATCCGGATCCTTGATAACACCGCGTAACCTTTCAATCGTCTTTTCCACCTCTTCCGACCGATACGTCCGACACGGCACAATCGGTCTAGCATAACTCAGATTCCACGTCCCTTGTGTGAAGGGTTCGTGGTATTGCGCAGCGTAATTCTGGTAGAGCGGACATTGGGCCGAAGACAGGGATGGCAGGAGAAGCGAGATGCAAGGGATCAGGATCTTTGCGGGTGACAGCCTCATCGTGGCGTGCGCGACGGGCCGATAGTCGCCTGGCAACGTGAGGGTATTGGTACGATTCGATTCGAAAATAAAATAGCGATTAGAGGATATCGCCGATGGGCTAAGATGGAGTTGAGCGTGTGTGATGTTCCCCGTGAGAGGTGTGAGAGTTCAGCCAAGCCGGCACGAGCCACATGTCACTCGGTTGCAACGGATCGCAGCGTGGTACTAATAAGGTGCCACGAGCAGTCGCGATACGAGGGGACAGAGGAAATCATTTGCGGACGACAATCCACTACCGAGGCGGATGGCAGTTGTTCATTTGTATAGATTGCGTGCCAAGAATGCTCCTCCGTCTATGAACCCCGCTCCGGAAGGACAATTCCAGACACCACCTGATCAGCCCTTGACGATGGCTCTTACTCGCTTCCTCTCTTCAACGTCCAAAACCCAAGGTATGCCCGAGTCGCCTGATGTATCTTCCGCCACTTCTGCAAACTCATCGTCTTCCATATTGAGAATCAGCGTCATCTGCGTACTCTTTTGGAATACATCGCGGAGTGAGTAGGCGCCGCCACTTGTAGCCGCTGTGATGATGCCAGAGATGTCGCGCTCGAGTCTAACAGCACCCAACTCATTTACTCTGCCGTAGTAGCTCTTGATGCGCTTCTCGAGTGACGACGCAAGAGAGTTCAGACCTAGAGCGAGCAGTCGGTCGAAGTTCGCTGAGGTCAAGATGCGCTTGATGGGACGGATCACGACTCCCCAGCCGCGATCGAAACGCGACTTTACCACATCGACGTCCTCCTCCTCTTTGTCTTCATTCTCGCCATCCTCGGGATCGTATTTGACGTCTCGGAATGCTTCAGCCAGGATGGGTCGAATGCGAGGCTTTAGGACGTTGGAGAACAGTACGGTGATACCGTCGTTGAGCAGGTCTCCGCTCTTGGATGCGAAGGCTTTCTCCATTGCCTTCAGTGTGTTTTCAACGAATACTGCATCATGTCCGAATGGGAAGAGGTCGTGTAGTGGCGACTTCACGTCGTCTTCGCCGCCTTGTGATTGACGGCCCAGTTGCTGCTGGACTATGCGCTTGACGTAGTCATTCGCAATATCGAGATTGTTGATGAGCACCAGGAACGCAATGACCTTGTCCTCTGGAGGAAGACCACCCTGAATGACGGGTTTGGGGTAGCTTTCGTCACGCATCTTTCGTTGTATCATGCCGATGAACTCGGCGCCTAGGATGTGGCTGACCGCAGGCACGACGCTAGAGACGACAGAACGTTGCGAAGTTGCTAGTGTTCGCTGAATGACCTGATTGACAATGTACATGACATCGTCTACAGCGGAGGTAATGAAGGGTGGGTTGGATCCAAGAGGCTTGGTAGGGTTCAGTGTAAGATCTGCTGGTGGTTCATCCAACTGGAAAGCTTTCTCCACCGATCTCCGGAAGAAGAAGGTCGTCATTGCATTAACGGGCTCGATGAGATGGCTGTTGACTTTCTTGTGGAGGTTACTGGTAGCAAGGAAGTTGGGCATCACCAGACCGTAGTCGATGCGGTCTTCAGGTTCGGAGGGCTGCTAGGGTAAGCTAACGAAGATACACACGTGTGTCCGCACTTACTGCACACTTGTCTGAGAGGAAACGCGCATACAAGGCATAGCGTCCAAGTATCAGCGCGCCCTCTCCGAGCAAGCCGTCAATCTCTTTCATGTCCACTCCTTCATCCTCGCTTGCGCGGCCAGCACCGTTGGCTGGAGAGCTAGAGCGCGGTGTTCCGGCAGCAGGTTTCTGGGAAGGCAGGAAGCTTTGGACAAGGAAGGAAAAGGCATATGATTTGATATCGGTAAGTTTGCGATCAATGTGGCGCTCTTCATGCCATGTGTCAAGCACGATACCACCTTGAACATCAGCCTCAATCTGCAAACGTTCAATGACCTTTTGCATCATGCCTGGTCCATAGTGGCGCTCTACCAGCGGCTCATGACCGTCGACGATTTGGGCAATGTGCTCGAACAGCTTTGTGATGGTGTTGCCGTAGAAGAAGCCCTCATTCCTCTGGGCAGGCGCAGCCGAGTTGAAGTTTGTCCGCGCCCGTGAAGCTACTCCCTGGCAGACATAGCGGCCATATGCATCCAGTCCTACATTTGTCCGCCCGATCAGGGGAAACAGCTTGAAGAATCTCGTCACCTTGGAGCCGTCCCCTTCTTGCGCTGCCTTTTCGAACTCGCGCAGGAAGAGACCACACAGCGACTCTGCTGCTGCATCTAGTGTCACGCGCGGCGGATCAGGCACCTCAGCCGTGGGCACAATCTCCTCTGCGAAGCTGCCATTCACGACGTCGTCGGGTATCTTGGCGGCGCGACTGAGGTAGCCCGCTGCCGTCTCCCAGTCCTGGGGAGCTCCCATAGACCCATGTACGCCCAGCACGCATGCCTTCAGTTCCGCCACCTGCTCCACCACCTCGAGTGTGGCCTTGACATTGGACTGTTCCTGGTCTAATCGCTTGACGGCGCTGGAGATTCGGTTCGCAGTCGAGGCGGCGTCGGAGAGCATGCCACTGCTAATGGCGCGCGTGTTGACCGCTTGGGTGCCGAGGTGGGCGCGCAGCAGATCGAGGCGACCGAGTTCGCGCGAGAGATCCTTCTGCGAGGCAATGAGGGCGTTTAGGCGCTGGGTGACGCTGGCCTCCTGCTCATGCAATTGGCCGAGGGCCTCATGGATCTGAGCCACGCTGGCGGCGGCGAAGATGTCCTGGTGGTCGTCGATTTCAACTGCCATGTTCAAACACTGCAATCATGCCGCTGGAGGTGCAGCAGTGGAGGAATATCACACGTCGCGTACTGGCTGTCGAGTGTTGATCATCTATTTCTGGCGCGGCAGCTGTCAAGCGTTGGTGGGCGGGCGCCGATCTCTTGGCCGGTGACGTCTCAGAGCCCCCCGGACACCCACGATCCATGCGCCGTTGCCCCTGCAGCAAGATTACATGTTGACGGCGGCGGGACGGCCTCTGCTGTCGCATGTCTGTTTACTCAAGCAATCTCCGCCGCAATTTTTTGTATAACAGCGTTTGGCAGCCCTCTACGCCACGCTTTAGCCCCCAACAGCCGTGTAAACACCACGACGACCCGCGCACCAATCACCTACGCATCTAGACCCTTCAGCTGTACGCACCACGATTACGCACCAACGGCCCGCATCTGCACCGAAGACTGCGCCTTCCTCGTACTTCACCAACAGAAAGCCCCTACCACTCGCGCCTTCCTCTCCGATTTTTGCGACTTCCTCTGCGACCGCTCCGCGCCTTCCTCTCTCATCTCCGTGGCGCCCTGGACCCTGTCCAAACAGACTTCCCGAAGCGTGCCTGCCTCCGCGATCCAACGTTCCTCCACGTGCAGCCTCGTGCACCTTCACACACGGCATTGAAGTCGCCAACAGTTTTATCCATGCTTCCGCGGTAAAACAGCATCAAAATCAATTACACCCCCAGGTCGAGTCGCCGGTGCACTAGCACTTGGTAGCACACGCTGCGACCCAACCAAACCATGGACGCAACAGCACACGTCCTCCATGCCGCCGCCCAGCTGGATGCCCGCGCCGGTGGCATGGGCGGCGACACTGGAACCCGTCCAGGCTCGTACAAAATCATTGGTCTCGTCCTGGCGATTGCATCGGGAGTCTTCATCGGCACGTCGTTTGTTATCAAGAAGCATGGTCTGTTACAGGCGAACAAGAAGTACAATGAAGAGGCGGGAGAAGGCTACGGATACCTCAAGAACGCTTGGTGGTGGCTCGGCATGACACTCATGATTGTTGGAGAGATATGGTACAGACTGCGAGGCAACAAGTCCGAACATCCTACTAATACCTGGCAGTAATCTTGTCGCATACGCTTTCACCGACGCTATCCTCGTAACCCCCATGGGCGCCCTCTCCGTCGTTATCTGCGCTATACTGTCCACTATATTCTTGAAGGAACGCTTGAGCTTTGTTGGAAAGGTGGGCTGCTTCAACTGCATCATCGGATCTGTTGTCATTGCAGTCAACGCGCCAGAGCAGTCGTCTGTTGCGCGCATCCAGGACATGAAGAAATGGGTCATTGCGCCCGGCTTTCTCAGCTATGCAGGTGTCGTCATCGTCGCATGTGTTGTCATTGCTCTCTGGCTCGGCCCAAAGTACGGAAAGAAGACCATGATGGTCTACATCACCATCTGCAGTCTGATCGGAGGACTGAGTGTTGTCGCAACCCAAGGTCTCGGTGCTGCTGTCGTAGCACAGGCTTCTGGCACATACGGCGGACAGTTTAAGGAATGGTTCCTCTATGTGCTACTCGTCTTCGTGGTTGTCACACTGCTGACGGAGATCATCTACCTCAACGTAAGTCCCTCACTCTTTCTTGGCCATGTGGAGTATGCTAAGCTTTGCCCAGAAAGCTTTGAATCTGTTCAACGCTGCCTTGGTAACACCAACCTACTACGTCTTCTTCACCTCCGCGACTATCGTCACCTCGGCCGTCCTGTTCCAGGGTTTCAAAGGCACACCACTTCAGATTGTCACCGTCATCATGGGCTTCTTGCAGATTTGTTCCGGAGTCGTGCTACTACAACTCTCCAAGTCGGCCAAAGACGTTCCCGACTCTGCTGTTTTCAAGGGCGATCTTGACCAGGTGCGAACCGTCGCAGAGATGGAGGAGCCGGAATACGAGCCCCGAGCTGATACCCTTCGTGGCGGCGCGGCAATCCTCAGATCACTGTCAAAGGCCAGGTCTCACAAGGAACTCGCCGAGGCGAAGAAGATTCAAGAAGAGCACATGGAACCGATTGGTGAGGGCGAGCAAGTGGAGTTTGACGGTCTCCGAAGACGTAAAACGGTTCTCGACCCCAATCGGCCACCGACGCGCAGCGGCACCATTGTCCAAACCCGAACCATCCACCCCCCTCTTGGGATGTCACAATTCCCGACCGACGAATCCGACGACGACGACGACAACGCTAGCTTCCACCCCGGCTTCTTCCAACGACTGCGCTCCCGAGGCAAATCGACTAGTAGTCGCGGCAGCTCCCACGCTCCGGGGACTTCTGGCATGGGCATGCAGACACTCCCGTCCATCCCACAAGCCGACGGCGCATCGGACCGCGAATCAGACGCCGGATCCTACAAGCAAACTATCATGACACAAGACACATCCTACAAGCCAATCGACACGCACATCCAGTTCGCCGCGCTCCCCGACCCGCAGTATCGTCACAGCCGTACCGATTCGAACGACTCCCTCGCCCCACCACGGCCGAACCCTCACATCGCCAAGCGCCAATTCTCTTTTCAAAACGTCTTCTCCCGGCACCGCTCAGAATCCACAGGCGAAGCGTCAAGTAGCAAAGTACGCCCGACTAGTAGGCATAGCCGGAAGAGCAGTAGAGAGGGCAAGGCCGCAGCTACTGCTACCGAGGAAGAGAGGCTAGGTCTAGTGAAGGGTGACTCAACAAATCTCCTTCCGATAGCTAGCCGTGATGATGACGGTGATGATGAGCCGGTCGGACCGCCAGGATACTCGGATGACTGGGATATGCCGCGGACGTCTAGTCCTGGCTTTGAGCCCGAGAGAGTACAGAATAAGCCGGCGATAAGAAGGGTGGATACTGATGGCTCGGAACTCAGTCCGAGGGACCCAAAGGAGTTTGAGAAAGGAGGTGGGGGCCCGTACTTATAGCGGTTAGGATGATGACTTTTTTTGTCAGTCCTTCGCGCTGTATCTCCTACTTGGCTTCTTGAATGTCGTTTTGCATAGTTTAGTTGGGCGCTGTTGGTATATATTGAGCGTCGGCGCTTTCTGTAGTGTGGACTGGCGCGATATGGCCAGTGGATATCCTGCTGATTCACGTCGTGAAAGACGGTTTTTGACGTTAATGAGTACTTTCATGTACACGAAGATGTTTCAACTGTCAGGTGAGTGTATACGTAGATAGCATGGAAAGCGACTGAGATACATGGTCGTGAAATACATACATCATGATGATCACCACCACCGTTTTTGACCACCGGCATTTTGCAGTGTCTGAGCGTTCGGCGCTTGGGGGTGGGTATATAAATGTCTCCTGCCTGTACTCTTCTTTACCTTCCTACAAAACATAGCTTCACTTTTACCAAAAGAATCTAATGTTTTTGCCATGTCTGCGGGCTCTCTCTTCCTGCCAAAATACCCAAAGTCAATCTCATGTTTTGTTGGCGACTTCCTGGCGTCTTACTCCCAAAAAACAAAACAACATGACTGCATGTGCATACATCAAAAAATACATAGCAAGGGCCCATGACTTTTCCGCCAGCTCTGGTCTTCTTCCCAGAAATGATACGCCGATCGTGCCATGTGTCTGGCGCTGCGCTCACACAAAAACGTACCCGCCCACTATCATGTTCTGCGTCTCCGAAGATTTCGCAACCTCTGTCTCGAAAGCGGATTTCACATCCTCAAAAATGCGTTTCTCAATGCGATGATGTTTCTGGAAGTGGGCTTGGATTGTACCTTGGCTTCCAATCTCGATCAATTTTCAAATGACGGGATGATGTTACGTATGGGAAGTGGGTGGTGCTCGGGTATAAATACCTCTGCGCGCCTTCTACCTTCCTTCTTCTTTATTAACACGATTCTGTGTCTTTTACCAAAATTCGCGGCAGTGCATCGAATGTCTGAGCGCTCTTCCTCTTTTCCAAAATTTCGATAGCGTGGAGACATGTCCGCGCTGCTGTGCTCCCCTCAAAATCCTAGAGCTGGTGTCGATGGATGGAAACTCTCGTTGAAACAAAACACGACATACCAGAGCCATGTGCCGGCGCTCTTTGTACCCTTCTCAAAGTTACATCTTCAACATGAGTTTTTAAACGTCGCCTCAAAAACCTGCTCTGAAGCTTACATGGTCCGCTCTGCGAGTTCGGCGGTTCTATCTCTCGAACGATAAGGTCCCACGTCTTTCTCTCATTTCTGGAAAAAACGGGGGAGTGCGTTTCATCTTTCTGAGTGCGATGTCAGAGGGCTCAATTCTCCCGCACTCTTCTTCCTCATCCGCTCGATGGAGTTATTCTACCTACAGTGAATGGAAGCTGATATGTTTTCTGTGCCGTTGAGAGTTCTCAAAGATGGAACATGAAAACGCTATTCGTGGACGTTCAGGGCTGCGTTTCGCTTCTCTCCCTCTTCTTGATTGCGGAGATTGAAAGCGTCGATGGCTTGTCCAATGCTGGGGCTGCTATGATTCCTCATATTTCCGCTATCCTTCTTTCCTTCTCATCGACCCAAAGGCTTCATTTTTACAAAATGTCTTCACAGAGTTCACATGTTTGCTGCGCTATGCCCAGTTTAATCCGCTCAAAGACCAAAAGGGTATTCGCAAAGATGAATGGCTGTGCCAGCTCCTTCCCTTCTATCTTCGATGTAAATTCCAAAAAGCCTACCTCGCTCACGCACGCTATACTTCCAAAGAGCGACATAAAAGAGAACTTCGCCTATTTCATGTCTTTCCAACAAGACGTTTCAAAGGACGCTGTATGCTGTCCGATCCTGCAGCCCTTCCTACGCTGGCATCGTTTGTTTTGATTCGATCCAATTCCCAAAACTACATCTACTCTGAAGTTCTTAAATTACAGAAAACAAGTACAAAACCCATCATGTCGTAAACCTAAGCGAAAAGCAACGCGACAAGATCGATCGTGGAAGAAAATGAGATCATGGGAAGGAATCTCCGGTTTGGGGGCTTTGAGGATGATATAACTGTTTGATGGTCGCCTACTCCGGCTCCAGTAGATGCGTTATCGGATGACCAGTCCCGGCCAGTATCCTTCAGAGGTAAAACCGCCTTCTCAATGTCTTTGGTAACCTGCGTCGGCTGCAAGTATATAGATACAGCTATCGTTTGAGCAATCAAGCTGAGGTTCTTGGAAATGCGATGCTTCTCTCTTTCGTAGAGTATCTCCTCGCGCATGACTCGTATGAAATGCGGGAGGTGTGGTTGGCTCGTCGTCTCCGGGTCGCCTCTGGGTCATCGCAGTACCGAGAGCAATCAAGCTGTTACGTTGTCTGCGCGGTAATTGGGATCCAGTGTTAAATCGAGTTTGAAGGGTTCAAACCTTTTGGGCCTCCACCCAACAATCAAGCCCTTAAAGCGCCTGGGCTCATGTGACCGTACAGTCCAAGAACCCCAGGTAAAGAAAGCTTTATGCCATGATGCAGCGGTTTGTACTTCTCTGAGCCTCTCACGTTGATGGTTTGCATCGTGAGAGTCCTTGCCTGACCTTTTCTCTACGAGATTCACCGCACACTTCGCTAGCTCAATGGCCTCTTCATACCTTACATGTCCTGCTAGTGCGAGAATTCCGCGATTAATCGCCCCTATAGTGTAAGGATGATCGTTCCCGAGGTGTGCTTGAGCGGCTTCAATGGGCTCCTTGTAGAACCACATTTGGAGTTTCCGACTAGCGAAGCGGCCAACCCATGTCTTTTGATATATCCGCACGCGAGCTTGGAGCTCGATCCGCGTTTGCACAACCAGCAGAGATAGCTCGTGCGTTTCTCCGTAGTTGGAGACAGTGACCTTGTACAATAGGTCCATTATCTCCAATGCTTTTGGATAGTTGCCTTGGTAGTTGTAATGCATGGCCCAGTCGAATTGCGCTCTGACGCATTGCAGATTTCGGTCACCAAGAAGTTTGGATATGCGGGGTATGACCAGCCTGTAGATTGTCTCTGCCTGTTTGTAGCGCTTCATGTCGGTTTCTAGAACGGCTAGGAGAATGTAACTGGTACTGTCTCTTAGAAAGACCGCATCATTTACATCCTCAAAGAGCTTGGCTCTGCTACTTTCGTCTTTCAATTCTGGATGCAGCTCGAACAGATATTGACGCGCTTCGATCCGACGCTCTTCCATCAGGTACAACTTGACTAGCGAACTCCGTAACCCATTCAGTGCAACATGATCGGACGGTAGAACCGCTTTCGAACGATCATACATACTCTGAGTCAGAGCGATTGCTTCGTTCCGCATACCAATGTTGATGAGCTTTTCACACACTGCCGAGCTTCTTGAGGACACAATGAAGTGTCCAGGACCTAGTACTTCTTCCCAGTCTTCCAACTCTCGACGCTCAACTTCCAGTATGGCTTGTGTCTGCTGCTGGTCTCGGTAGTATTGCATGTCATTCGTGAAGTCCATGTGTCCGATCTGTAGTTGCTGCGACAACTTTGTCCACCAGAGGTAACAACTTCCAAGGGTGTTCTTGAGCTTTGCGAGGCGAAAGTCGAAGAAACCTTGATTCGGCGTGTGTTTTGCGAACCAGAATTCCGCTAGAGCTTCGTCTCTCTTCGTGCCAAAACCAAGCCAGTAGCATGAAGCAATTTCCAAGGCCATTGCATCGCGTAGGCGCGTCATGTCCGGCTCATGCAACACCTCCTGGTGTCGAATGATGAGACTGTCGAAAATCATGACTCGAACTCTGTAGTCCACATTGGACAGCTGCAATAATCCTTGCACAACCTGAAATGTCAGACTGAGGCACTGGAGGAGTAGAAGCACGTACATCGAACCAATTGAAGACATCCGGAATCTTTCGAATCGCATCGTAGGTCATGTGCGGGGCTACCGCCACCGGTTTTTCAGTAACGCACGGTGGATCGGAATGATCGTCCTTCGTGCAGGCTTCGAAGCAGTCCCTCAGGATTTGGAGAGGAGTATCTATCGACGTAGGGCGAGCTGAAGGGTCAGCAGCTAGCGTCAGTTCGAACAGCTGACTTAGACAGTCTTTGATACTGTCAAAAGTCTCGTTACTTTGTTGCAACTTTGTTCTTGCGATTGCAAGCATGGTACTGCTGTCCAAAGACAATACGTCATCGGCGAAATCACCCTCTGCATAGGCGGGGTGATTATAGAACAGCAGCCACAAAAAGCACACACCGCACGAATAAGACATCGCCCGTTGAGCATCTAAGAGATGGAAGCCAGTATGACGATACTCGTTGGGGGGTATTGACCACGGGCGTGATTCGGGAAGAATGACGTGTAGATCAGGCACCTCATCTGGTACTGCACTGGAGTGCCCGAAATCGGCAAGTTGGATGGTAACGGCACCGTTTTCAACCCCGTCGACGAAGACCAATATGTTCTTTGGTTTGATGTCGCCATGTATGATGCCTGATCAACGTTAGCTGGATTATCGATTGAAACGATTATGCTCACGATGGTCTTCCAGATCCGCGACAGCGATTGCGAGCTGAATGCAAATACTTATTCTTTGCTTATAGCTGAGAGAACCGCCTTCGCGAGTGTGCATAAAGGACCACAATGTTGAATGTGTGGCCTTCTCGAAGACCAGAACCGGCTTGATAACCCATTTGTTGCCCTCTTTCCTACTGTCCACACTCCAGCCGATACCTTGTAACTTAGTAATGAAGGGGTGTGCCCGGAGCGCGCGTGCGCTCACAAAGCTGAGCTCTCGCAGGAAGGCACTCGCGGAGTTGACTTCCTTGAATGCAAGCTCCAGGTCATTCCTGATAAAACGCTGATTCACGACTGCAGTCAAGCCAGCACCTACGTTTCCAAGAGTTGGCTGATGGATCAAAGGGAGGAAGTCGACTTCGCGGGATTGTGCCAGTGCCAAAATCTCTTGCAGGTTGGCGTCTGGCGTAGAGCTGGCAGTGGAAATTTGGTGTGCGATTGATGCCACAGAAACCACCGAGTAGGCAGTGTCACGCACAAAAAAAGAGGTTTCTTGCGTGCAATCTGCAGTGCCTTCCATGGAATCGACATGAATATGGAAGTCGTTGCTCAAGTGTTCGTTCCGTCGCGTGGGAACCCGGCTGCCAGGCAGCAGCCCGCGTATTATGTAAGCCCCGCTATGACCATCCGGCCTGTCACGAAACTGACGCGCCGGCAAAACACGATCCTTCAAGACATGGCTCACATTATGACCAAACGCACAAATCGAAAGGATGCTACCTAACAGCGCTAAAAAGCTCATCCAACGCGTCGACAACATCAGCTTTGAACATCCTACGCAGAACCAAGTCGTCGTCCTCGCGCCCAGTTCTTCCCCTGGCAGCAAAGTGGCCGCTCAGGCAACTCATTACCACACGTTGATAACGCGATCCCATTGTGAGCTCAACCTGGGCTAGACGCGTGTCCAAAATCTCCTTGGTGAACTGCTCCGGCCCCAGGCTGCGGAACCGCTTACTCTCAGTAAGCTTCACCAGTGGCGCCCAATGTCCGATTTCTAAAAGCATCATACCCATGCTGTAATAGTCGTACTCCTGACAATATCTCGATCTGTTCTGCAGATAGTCCGGGTGGTGGTAGTTCAGCCTGTTGTCAGGACCAAGTGTAGCAGCGTCCGCCTCGTTCTGTCGACTGCTGGCGAATCCTAGCATGATCGGTGTTTGTGCCCACTCTTTTCGGTCTGCTTCCTTCGCTGGACAAAACAAGATATTTGTCGGGTTGAGATTACGATGCAACCACCCCACCGAATGGAACTGGTAAACCGCTCGCGACAAGGCATAGCCGAGACGTATACGGCCTTCGAGGGTGGGACGATAGGACAAGCCTCCATGAAGCATTTGATTCAATGTCAGGATTTGCAAGTTTTCGTCCGACGAGCTGGGTAGCTCATACACCAAACCGAACGACCTTCTGGAAGGGCGATGATATAACCCTCGGCAATGCAGAGTACTCGGAATCCGGGCGGCGTCGTCATTGTGCAGTAAGCTTGCTACCGAAGCAACACGGTCCCGGAACTGTCTTCCCGTCTCGTCATCTGCCCACGCAAAGCTGTATTCCACCCATTCTACCAGGAATCTACCCTCGCTTCGCTCTATTAAAGCCCGGGTATGTTGCTCAATGTCATCGAGCAGTTTGACATCCTGATCTTTAAGGAAGAGACCACGCTTTTCGCTCAGAAGCCCCAGCCGCTCCTTTTCGATCAACAGCTTCACAGTAACGAGTAAGCCGAGTTCATGGCTCACAGCATTACTGGCCCCTGCCGCCGGGCCGAAATCGAACTCATCGATTTGGACGTCTTGCAATACCAATTGTTCCGCGTGAGTTTTGGCCAAGTCGCGGCAATGAATGGGGAGTGCACCGAGTAACCGAACATGGATTTGTTGGACCTGCTTGGAACATCGGCGTCTGTAGTCGTCGTTCTTATCTGCGAGACTGTCGAGAAACGTGGACATGCCTTGGAGCTCGCTTTGAATCAGCTCAAACTGGAATGTCGGTACCTCGTCACCTTGGGGCTGCTGACGTAGCCTGTCGTGATAGAATGTCTCAAACGCATTACTCCAACCTTCGAAATTCATTCGCCCCAGTCTTAGATCGGCGGCACCCTTCAAGTCTCCAAGCTGCTCCCAAGCTGCTGATACGAGACGAGCCAGGCCAAACACAGCTATGTACTGCAAACTTAGCATGACTTCCACTGCCCGCGGACGCTGTGTAGGTTCGAAAGATAACATCTCTTCGCAAAGCGTTATGAGCGAGGTTCCTGGGCTTGTGCTGCGCTGTCGAAGTGACATCAGCCAGTTTTGCACTTCAACGCTTGGCCCAGCGGGCCCGTGGTGGAATCTGAACCAAGTTATCTCGTTCGTCACTTCGTGATACCGAGCTTCTCGGAACTTCTTCACCCCCTTAGAGCCTTCGGCCAAGAATGTTGCGACCTCAGCAAGGATACAACCAAAAGACCATATGTCGCTTGCTCTGGTGACCTCGGCGGTTCGAATCAGAGTGTCATGAAATCGCTGGCATTCGGGTGCGGCGTAGTCTGATCTAATCTCCTTGAAAGCTGTCAAGGAACCCTCTTCTTGAGCTTTGAAGGTAGATAGCCCAAAGTCTCCGAGAACAAGAGTCTTATCACGGATGAAGATGTTACGTGGAGCTATGTCGTGGTGGCATCCTGTCAGCTTCACATCCAGTACAACCGAAGAGAAGTTGTGTACAGTTTCAACAGCAGAAGCGAGGTCCGCCAAAGCTGCGAACAGCGGATGATTGTGACGTGATGAGGGTTCGGGATTCGAGAAATACGGCGCTACTAAGTCTCCGCGAAGCAGCTGCGCAAGAGTACCCCCGTTTGCCTCATCAAACACGAACGTATAAGTATCGCGAAAGCGGTAGGAGCAGAAAAGCTCTACAAGGTTCGGGTGTTTGAGATGCGATAACAGGGACAGATTGCGGAGCTCTTGCGCGAAAGCATGCTCTGCTTGTCCCGCAGACTTCTTGATCTCCTTTCTCACGACCTACATATCTCAGTCATCATTCTGCTGTTCTCATGTGCAAAACTTACCTTGTTTGCTGCGATGGGCAGTTCATGACATTGAGGATGTATCGTGGTTATGTATGCACTTCCGAAAGAACCCTCACCTATCGACTCTTGATGGATGATAGGGAGTATTGTCCCTTGCGCGAGTTCGCGCGTCAACAGCATCCGGGAAAAGAACGGAGTGGAGAATTCCCATTGCTTCTCGAGAAAGCGCTGCACCTTAAGATCATCAACTTCTACACCGAACAATGCGGCAAGTGAGCTTGGTTCGAACGGGAGACGATCGTCAGGATGCGACCTTTGCAGAGCATCTTTGCTAAAGAAGTCCAGAATCAAGCGACCGCATTTTATCAAGAGTAGAATGGCAAAGCAACGCCTCGCCCCTTTGACGATTCTACCAAGAATCTCTTCGTGTTGATACAAGGGTAGCCCAAGTTCATGGAGAGCCATGCGAATTCGAGGCTCAGACATTACACTGATCAACTCTCCCCCAGGGACGAAAAATCGGCCCTCGATATTCTTGTTCTTGAAACGCAAGCTTTCAATGCTTTCGACCAGATTGTCCATCTTAGTTGTTCTCAGGCTTCTGGATAGACGCGATTTCGGCCTAGTTCAAGTGAGTAATGATGACATCACCGGGCTGCATACCGCATGAGCGTACCTCGGTCAGCCTTTCTGGAACCGTCAAGTCGTAGGACTCGTAATTTTCCTGGACCGTACGTTAGTGCTCCAATCGTTGAGCTGTCTCTTTGCGCAAATTGTTCACTAACCACTATCCTGAAGTTGCCAGCTCCAAACTTATCTCGCAACAAGGCTTGAAGGTCTCCAAGGGCGATGTACTGTTGTGTTATAGTCTGTGCCAACATCGTTGTGGTGGGGTGGGGTCGCAAGGCTCTGTGTAGGATTGCGAGATAGCGAGGCAGAACGGCTGACCTTTATGCGGGTCGCAATGCAGCCCATTTATGTCGCTCGATTGGATACAGCCTTGACACGTATCCGAGAAGCGCCACCAAGCAAGCAATTGCGCTCACCGGATCTTACAGGAGGACTTCTCGTACTAGGCCATACTTTAATTATGTCGGCTATGCAAACTCATCTATCGTATTAGAGCGATTCCGTTGTACCACGTTGGCACATGTAAGCATCTCTCATTCTTTTTACACGGGCACAATGGTGACACTTGACCAAGTGACATCGCCTTCGGTCCAGAGCTATGCGCTCGCATCAGATTGCTATGCACCAGATGGGTTCGATCGTACGCTCTGTAATGAGGCTTTGACGAACGAAACCGAAACATTCTTCTGCAAGACTGGCGGTGGCCTTACAGTTTTATGGAAAGAAGAGCCTCAAGGCAAGTCGTATTAATACTGCCATCGAAGCGCAGGCCTACTCTGATTCGTAATAACACAGAGCGAAGGGCCAATCTTGGAGAGCAACGTGTCAAGCAATGATCTGGAACAAGGGCATCTTGAGACTGTATGTACTGTTTCACATTGTCAACACACATCTAACTTGTAAGAAACCACTGGTACCACATGTAACCAAACTCTTGTGAGCGATTCACGGCTGAATCTAGAAGCTTAAGTTGAGTGCAGTCAGTATTATAACGCAACGTTTCTCCTGGGGACAGCTGTCAATAACGGAGCCCGCATTTCGCATATTGGCTGGTCGATTAGGGATATTTACCCCGTTCATAGATATCGTACGCGCTTTCGGAAGGAAGGTTGAAGATGACCAGCGCGCACGGCACACCTTCTATTCGGCCAGGATTAGCCAATGCCTGGAACTATGCTACAATATGCGCTACGTCGAGCTAAATGGGCGACAGAAAGGCCATCCATGGTCATTGCGCCAGACAGGTGTGTATCACAAAACGCAGTTATCTGGGCAACAGTCCACCTGGGTTGTACTACAGCCATCTAAGCACGCACGTACAAGCTTAATACCGTCCCTCGAAAAGAATGACGCGGGAAATACCGCATGTAAAGCTCCTACTTTACACGTCCATTTTGTGTTCCTGTACTCCGGTATCAAGAATTGGCATGCGTACGTCGAGTATATGGGAGCACAGCTAAGACGATACGTGAGCTATGGGCCCCTAGGCCAATATACAACACACTGCTGATGCTCACCACAGGAAGAAAAGGCAGTGTCTTCGCACCTAGACACACCCGTTCACTACGACCATACCGTCCTCTTCTCAGACATCCAATGTCTAACAAAGCTCAAAAGCAGACTATCAACATCCACAGCCGCGGTAAATGGGCAACTCAAAGTCCTGCAAGGCTGGAATCGCCAACACACCCTCCTATGTGGCACGAAAAGCGCATGCGATGCAAACAACACAATCGCGCACCTGAAGATCGAGATCGAGCACACGCAAGACGCATTTCGCAGGCTGATGCGCAAAGCAAACGAGTACAGGAAGTTACTGGACTCTATTCTCACCACAAGAACCAACGCAGCTCTCCTACTCTCTATTACGCACATGCAAACGAATATCAACTTACACCGTGCTACGACAGACCAAATGCACACACATACTATCGAGCTTGTGCGCACCGCGAAAGAAGGCCATCAAGACACCATGAACGTGAAGACGCTGGCGCAGATTGCTACTTTGTTCCTGCCCGCTACGCTCATTGCCGTAAAGAACCCATGTTTCGGTGTGTAATGAGATGCTAACGATGGACAGAGCCTGTTTAGTTCTGAGATGCTCATACAGAAGACTGGATCGATCTCGTTGCTAGGACTGTATTTTGCAGTCACAGTGCCGTGCGTACTTGCGACACTGGGGGTTATGCTGGGTGTGCAAGGCGGGAGGTGGAGGCGTTGGGTCAGGGCGACGATGGGGAGAAGGAGCATGCCTTGAGTCATCATACTGAAAGGCGTTTCGCGAGAATTACCTGGGTAAAAGTGGACTTTCGCATTAGCTGCAACGAAATCGTATCAGCTCGTTAGTATACTATTCCAATAGCTTCCCGGACATGTTGTAGATTAGGAGCTTGGTTATCTCGATACGTCCACGAGTGCCTGCGTTTGACAGCCGGGAAAGGTTGCCGTCCATTGCAGACAGCGCAGCAGTGCCGCGTCTTTCCAAGGTCGACGATAACTATTCTGATACAGCGATGTCGAGTCAAGTCTGTCATCCACTGGAACTATAGATCGATGCGCCTTCAGTGATGCAATCATGACTGCTTCGCGACATGCGCAGTAGTCGAGCTGTCGCATAGGCGATAGTTGGGGACTCGCGGTGCAGGCGGCCAGGCGGGACACCTCCGGGGCTCCCGCAACATCGCGCAGCCGCGCACCTAGCCCGCCCCAATAAACCTCACGATGCATCCGCACAAGTCCAGATTGAAGAAGCACACGTATAACCCAAGAAGCGCACGTATTTAGTCCCCAAAAGCACCATCTAAATAGCGTATCCCTAGTGTCCAGCATGTTCCGCCTCGCCTCGCTGCCATCCCCAAACCACGGACCAAGACCCCCAAACACCCTTCTCAGCAAAAACAACATACAACATTCCATGTACATAATACACTTCTTATGCACCCTTAGACTACAAGCCCTCTGCGTCTACTTCCCCTAGCTTCCGCGGTCTATTTCCAAACCCGCAGACCCAACTCTAGCCACCAAGACGACTTTATTGCAAAAAACAACATTTGACATCGCGTATACACTTCGCATGCATCCAAGACTACTCCACTCCAACTATATCCACATTGCCTAGCTTCCGCGACGTGCAAAAAGTATGCACATGATCACTAATCATGCGTCCATGCCATGCACCAGAACTGTGGGCGGTTACGGGGAGGTAGGAACAGCAAAAAGGAAAGCTCTCCAGCGGGGAATTGAACCCCGGTCTCCCGCGAGTTGTCTTTTGCAAGATGACAAGCGGAAATACTGACCACTATACTACTGAAGATTGATCAACTTGATAGTTGAGTAGGTGGTTGATGGCAAAATTCGAAACTTGTGTGTTTATAATCTAGCTTGTGTGGATTTCATGCTGTAAGCTGCACGCATCAGAATTGGCTATGTATTGGGGAGGTTTGTGGAAGATGTTGGTTGGGCAGTGAAAATCTGTATGGTGGGGTGTTCGGGTCGCAGCGGCGATTGGATCCGAGTCAGCGATCGACCGTGGAAGAGCAGGTTATCACGCATCTTCACAAGAACAGACTCATCACACGATACGCATGGCATGCAAAGAAATTGTTTGTTCAACACTTAGATTCATATCTATTGTTCCTTTATATCATCGCATTCTCAAGGCGCGCATCTAAAACTGCATGCTACCCATACCAAGACCCCTCCTGTAAATAGTTCCAGTACCAGTGAAGTTACCAGTCTGCGTAACAAAGTTCTCAGTGCTGCTGAAGTCCTTGATATGTCCGAGGAGAATCTCCAACATGCGGTACGCGACACCGGGCGTGTAACCAGGCAGTTCGTGACCAGCAAGACGTGCAGTGTAGAACATCATACCACGCTCAGCAGTCCAGTAGCCCTGGTAACCAGCACCCGCAAGCGCACCACCGTTGTACTCAGGGTGGTAAGGAGCGTACAGGGGAGTGGTGGGGTACTCGGAGAGACCCTGGGCGCCGTTCCAGGTCATGTTCTGGATGGCAAAGAGGGTTCCGTTAGTGCTGAGGAGCATGTCGAGGTCGCCGGAGCCGATTATGGTGTTGTTGGTGTACTCGATGACGCGCTGGAGGACGCCGTTGTTGGCGGGGCCGGGGGATTGGTCGGAACCTTCGTCATCGCCGTTGCCGAAGACGTTGGTGTTGGTGCACTGGAGCCACTCGGTGCTGACGTTGGCGTGGAGTGCCATCTTGACGTCGGTGCGGTTGAAGTAGATCTCGGCGCCTGGGGGCGAGTAGTCGCCGGTGTTGACTATGCCGAGCTGGGAGTATGGGTGCGGGCATGTCTCGGTGATGTGGTAGATGTTGAAGCAGGGGTTCACCTCGAGGATGGCGGAATAGAAGTTGTCGAACTGGTCGCAGGTGTAGTTCTCCGAGCTGTATGGGTCGGGGAGAACGGGGAAAGCGCCCTGTGGTGGGGGGAAGGTGAAGTACTTGTCCATGTAGTCGGTGTAACCGCACTCCTTGTGGTGCTGGGTGATCTGCTCCATGAATGTGTCGTTCAGGAAGAGCAGATTCTGCCAGAAGTTGACGAAGGGGAGGAGGACAACCTGCTGCTGGATGGTCTCATCACCAATGATGGGGTCGTTGATGGAGATACCGGCAAGGTTGAAGTACTTGTCATCATCGGCAGTGATGAAGCTGTCGGCAATGTAGGGGACGTAGTAACCAGCGTATGACTCTCCGGTGATGTAGGTCTTCCAGTTGTAGAGTCCGAAGAGGTCAATGAAGCTCTTGTAGAAACCACGGAACTGGTTGCCGAGCTCAACCTCGTCGGTGATGTTGGGGGTACCTTGCGAGTATCCAACACCTACGGGTTGCTCAACCCAAAGCATGTTGGTGAGGTTGGTCCAAGAGTAGGGGTTCTGGACCGGGGCGAGAGTTCCGGATTCCCAGGTGAACGGGCCGTTCTCCGTAAGGAAACCG